GAATTATTATTATTATTGTTGTTGTTATTGTTATTATTATTATTATTATTATTATTATTATTATAATTACATATTTATCTTATTGTGTAGTGTAACGACCCGTCAGGTCTCATACTGTCTATAGTTTTCAGGTACAAGTATAAAATAAAATCTCACTACTAAACAATTATATATAGAATGAGAATACACAACTAAAAAGTGTCATAATATATATAACTGAAAGTAGGAAATAATACTCTATACAACAACTAAGTAGTCAAAAGCTACCAATCAACTTTACACAACATCAGCCCTCCTCCTGAGTCCCAACCATAGAGAAGCTCACTCAGTCTAGCAGAGCACCTAATCTTGATCTACTCGCATACCAAGGTATGGTCATCACAGTCCTAACCACATAGGAAAAATACGCTAGGGTAAGCTCACAACAATAAACATAAAAAAATAACATCAACATATAATAAACAACAATAGAATTCTACTTTCAACTTGCAACTTAAAGCAACACAACATCTATCACAGTCCTAACCACATAGGAAAAATACGCTAGGGTAAGCTCACAACAATAAACATAAAAAAATAGCATCAACATATAATAAACAACAATAGAATTCTACTTTCAACTTGCAACTTAAAGCAACACAACATCTATCACAGTCCTAACCACATAGGAAAAATACGCTAGGGTAAGCTCACAACAATAAACATAAAAAAATAGCATCAACATATAATAAACAACAATAGAATTCTACTTTCAACTTGCAACTTAAAGCAACACAACATCTATGACATTAGATATACAATATCATCTACTATCAACAACATTTTCAACACATTGCACTTTATTCAAATTGGCCGCTTGTAATCGGTATAGTTCGGCCTGACCCCTATACCGTGGTCGCTTCATACACGTGTGCCTCGACCTTGCCCATACACGGGACCAACCAAGTCCTAGAGGAGAACAATACATCATCCACTCCAAGGGACAACTTTCCAAGGAGGGTTTTTAAACAAATTGGGCTCTCAGAGCACCACAATTATCTCAATCCACACAATGGGATGAGCAACTTTGAAAACTTCTCCTCTAGTCCTAGTGATCAACAACTCATCACAACACAATCACATAGCTCAACTATAAACTCATTCATACAACATTATATACAACTTGAATGTAACAACCCATGCAACATCAATTAATGCGTCGTCACGCATATACAACTAGGAGATCTCCAACAACTGAGGTTGAGCAGTCTAGGTGGCATACACCCTACCGAATCCAGCGTTTGACCTATCTCAACCAAGTCAGGTATAGAACAACGTTAGGAACTCCGAAGAGAACCAGGTATAGACAATAATAGGCGATTGCATAGGTGTGCCACTTAGACTCGGAGGTCCAGTATTACTGTCAGGACAAAAGGGTTTGGGTATGAGCCTACCACGGCCTTGGCTAGCATCACCAATCAACATATGGAGTTAGCCCACCCATTGTCCTCCAAGTACCACGTGCACGCACCCTCCAGTACCTAGTCAAAGACTACATCTCTAACTAGATACCGTACTCAAATTTGTCATTCAACCATGACATGGATCGACTATTTCCATGTCACTCACACAGTACTAAGGGATTCAACTTTAAAACAACTTTCAACTTATCACCTTAGTACTATGTATCTCAATATAGGACATATATCTTCACCATATATCCCAAACTTTTCAACTTTAAAACAATAGGCAACTTTACAACTTTACAACTTTACGATAATAGACAACTTTACAACTATAAGCATCTTAACAGCTTTACAGCAATAGACATCTTAACAACTTTACAACTTATAAACTACTTCAACTTATACATCTCGACTTATTAATAATTCAACAATAAACAACTTCACAACTTAACTACAACATGCATCTCATTCACATCTCATCTTCATCACAAAAACATCACCAACAACATCATTAATAAATATTTAATCATATATTAGCAACACACAACATATGAACAACTTAAGCCAACAACTACTCAACTCATCTTCATCATGCAACTTAACTATGTTATAAACAACTTCTAAAACACAAGAACAACTACATGCAACCACTAATTTAAATCAATCATCTCTTTTCTCTCAAACAACAAAACCCAACTTTTTAACTCAATTCGCACCCAACAACTTAACCATTTTCAAGGAAAACAATACATGAAGCTTCCCTAACCTGAAGATTGGCTCAGCATTGCCAAGAGCTGAGAAGAAGCAAAATTTCCTTCCGAAGCTCAACCTGGGAACCTCAATCTTCCAAAAGCTAGCTTCCTGGCTTAGAGTCTTTCTCTCTAAAACTTCTCTCTAAAACCTCTCTCTAAGTTTTCCTTTTCTCCCCTTCCTCAACGCCTATTTATAGAGGTCAGGAGTGGCCAGAACGACCCGTTTCGAATCCGGAACGGCCCGTTCTAGGCTCCTTCATCATGTGTAAAATTCACATGCAGAACGGCCCGTTCTAAAACCAGAACGCCCCGTTCTAGCATGTCTAGAACAACTCATTCCCAAACCAGAACGACCTGTTCTGGAGTTGAATTTAACTGACAACAACCACGTTTGGAATGGCCTGTTTCAGTCTAGGATTTATAGGCCAATTTAATAGTTTGGAAAGACCCGTTCCAGTTTGGGAACGACCCGTTCTAGGCTACTAAATCACCCATCGCCTTTTGAAATACTTACTACGTTACATGTAGTAAATTTGAGACTTGTTGTACAACAAATCAAACCAAATATGTTGTAATTTGATATTTATTTTATTATTTAGATACATTAATTTAACTAATTTTTGTAGATTTTTTAAATAAAATATGTTGGAAGAGCCAAAGAGATACATAAAATAAATATCTAAACTTCTTTTCCTTCTTTCTTGTCTTTTATTTATTTATTTATTTTTTATTTTTTTGATAGGTTGATCCGTCAACTCATCCTTAGGTGGGGAGAGTCAACACATCCAATTTGTTTTTACTTGACGGCCCAGTTTAGTTTGACCCCTTTTTGACAAGTTGATAGTATGAAGAGTCTAAATGAATTGAGTTAACTCATTTTATTATTCGTATATAGGATACATGATATATTTGATTTTAAAAACATTTTATATAATAAAAATAAGTTACTTTTATTAATTTTATGTATTAAAGTATATTTTATTTATATTTTAAAATTATTGTTATCTTTGTTTTTTATAATAATAAAAAGTTATAAATTATATATATATATATATATATATATATAAACTTATTACATTTATTGATATAGCTAATATATGTGATATTTGAGAGAATTACTAAATCATATTAAAAATAATATTATCTTACATAATAAACCTTTGTTAATAAAGATTCTATTTTAAGATTACATAAAATTAGTTAATTCACATACATCTTTTGCTTAGTTCACACTTATCCTAATAAATTTGATGAGATTAGTTTATGGTATTTATCTGAGGGGATATTTTATGAGGGTTATCTTTATAATGTTATTACACAAACATACTCCACAATGATGAGATATTGTCCGCTTTGAGCCCAATGATGAGATATTGTCCGCTTTGAGCCTAAGTCCTTACGGTTTTGCTTTTGGTCATCACTCAAAAAGTTTCTCAATCATTGAAGTATGTTTGTGCTATATAAGTTGTTATTTATCGATTTTGCTTTTGGTCATTACTCAAAAGACCTCTCAATCATTGGAGTATGTTTGTGTTATATAAGTTGTTATTTCTTATTTTATTTTATCGATGTGAAACTTGTTTGTATCCCAACAAGATTAACCCATACCAACCTATTTTTGCCAAATTAGATGCCATGCGAGCCAAAATGAAATGAGCTAAACTAGTTTATCACTCCTGTATAAAAAATGCTCGCTCCAAAATTACAATGACTACATTTGGATGTGAATTTGGATTTAATATAAAGATTAGAGTGAAAATTTTTTATAAAAAAAACTGTCGGATTAATCCTTATTACTCTTCAATCTTCGTTTGATATGATAGAAATGACTGAGATTTAAGTGAGAGGAATGATAAATAATAAAGTAAATGTATTTGTTTAAAAATAATTAAGGAGAAAAGAAATATAAAAAAAAACTAAAAAGACGTACCACTTTAAATTTTGTGGTTCAACAATGATGAAATGGCGAAAAAATTACTTATCACGTAAAATTTAATCAATTAAATTATTATTTAATGGATTAAAATTCGTTTTTATAACTTTTACAAAAGATTTTGATTCTGTTGTGTGCGTGATTTTTTCGTGGTTTCGACAGAAAAAACCCAGTTAAGTGATGAGTAGAAATGACTCAGTTGAATGAAATGAAAACATATTCGTTGCCAAGAAATGAATCTGCTGTAAAATTTAAATTATATTTTATTTACAATTCGAAAGCTTATTTTATCAATAAAACAAAACTAATTTTTTCATTTATATTTAAAGTATCATTTTGTACATAAATAAACTCTTAACGTTAATTTTTTTTAAACTCAAAGAGTGTATTGCATTGGAATATCATTTGATTGTTTTAACATGAAAAAAGTTTAATAAATTTTAAAAGATTTCAAAAGAATCTAACAATTTTTAAAACTTTTTAAAAAGATTTTGTAAGTATGTAATGACTTTTAAATTTTTTTAAAAGATTTTTATAATCAAAATTTTGTAATATGAAATTTAATAGATATTATAAGATTTTACAAGGATAATATGAATTTTAAAAAAATAATACAATTAATAAAAAGTAACATAAATAATAAGATTTAAATAAAAAAAATAAAATCAATACAATTTTTTTCAATCTTTTAATAAGTAATTGATTCAAGTTTCATACGTAATTGATTCGAGTCTCATATGATTTTAAATAACATTTCTTTAATTATAACTTTCCATGAATTGATGTTTTCTCTTTCATGCTATTGAATCTAAAAAGCTTATAGCAAGGAAAAAAAAAATCTTTTGCAAATTTCATCTAACATGTTGCATACGTTGTTCCTTTAACCAGTTAGGCTGAGCAAATTTAAAGCTGCAAACTTTACTTGTTGCTGGCCAAGCAAACAGGAATAGTTTCCCATTCAAAACATCTTAACTAGGCAAGCAAATTAACCTACTCAAAGGTTCAGAAGATAGTATCTATTTAACAAAAGTCACAAAGGATTTAAGTCTGCCATAAACCTTAACAAACCAATATCATAAGAGCACCAAAGATCTGACACATGCAGTATTATAACAAACCAGTATTATGAATCGAATCCTTTGTAGTCTGCCATACTTAGAGCCGAAGGGCCAAGTTTGGCTGCTTATCATTATCCCTTAGAAGTTGTAGAGGAGCTTTTTCTTCAGATGATGTTGACTTTGGTTCATGTGGACTAATTACCTGCATTTGCATGTCAGGAAAACCATGAGTTGTTGGTGGAGTGTTTGGTACAGCTTGGTTGAGTGTATTGTTGAAATATGGTGAATCCTGCATTGTTTGGAAGTCCTTTTGCTGATGTGAGGTGCCTAAACCATACAATCAAGTGTTTGACTCATTAGAAATTTTTGCAGCTAGTGAAGATAAAATGGTTGAGCCTGAGATGTTCTTACTAGGAATTAAGTCTTCTTGCACTGTTCGAGACAAAAAAGATACCCTTGAGGGATTCAGGCTAGATGTGGAGTTTGCTTGCCATGACTGATGCATAAGAGGTAGCTCAGTGAGGTTATTGCTAGGCATGCCATACATGGAGTATTTTGGCCTTGGCTGAGATACAAGAGACAACTCTGCGAGGTTAATAGTGTCTTTTGGCCTTAGCTGAGGCATAAGAGATAGCTCGGTGAGGTTGTTGCTTGGCATGCAAGACTTTGAATTTTCTGGCCTTGAGTGAGACACAAAAGATGGTTCTTGGAGGTTAATGTGTGGCTCTGGTCTTGAAATCACACGTGTTGGATAGACACGGGCAAACTCATTGCTAGAGCTTCCAGTGTTTAACATGTTTGGTGTATCAGAAGAGGTATTCCACTGTCTTGTGTTGCTGGTTTTGTTAACTCCTGACTCTAGCTGGTTAGAAACCTCCTTAACAGGTCCAAGAAGCGAAGACACATTCTCAAGTGGGGAAACCATTTTGTCCTTTGAGAGGTCCCCAAAGTTCATGGTTCCTCTTGTATTAGAGCTCTCAATTCCACTAGGACTTCCTCCTTTGTCATTTTTTAAAAGCAAGCTGCTCAAAAGCGCAGCCGAACAAGCATTCCAGCTGTTAACACTGCCAGCATTAGTGGTGTAGAAATTTCTGTTTTCCTGAGCTGCAGAACCAGGAATAGTGAGTGGCCTATTGAGAAAGGGAAGGGCAAGAGCAAGTGTCTGAGCATTGAAAGTGTCTTCTTGTGTTGGTGTTTGTGGAGTTGGCTGATGAATAATCTGAGTGCCTGAAACATTTTCATCATTGCAAAGTTGCTGATCCTTGAGTGCTTCTAGTTTTTTGGCTGCAACCCTTTGAGCTATTGGTCCCAAATCCTCCACAAACCGCAGTAGACTTTCTTTGTACTTGATTGGATTTGTGTTCAACTGCATTACCAACATACATTATGAATGGTATTAGTCCATTAGATTACATGGAAGGAGTTGGAGTTGAATTGTTATGTGGATGCCGCATAAGGAATTAATTAAGAATGGACTATCATTTTTTTTCAAATTTAAAGTCGTCATCAAATGAAACTTATGTACATGAGTGTAGGATACACTAGTTAGGAAGTTTCACGTGCAAATGTGACACCATATGATGTACTTACTACTTTATTACATATCCTATGTACGTGCGTTACATTCTTCCCAATTATTATTCATTTATTTTCATTTTTCAGGTTGTATGATTGTTTATGATCACCAACTAATGTAATTGTTTTGGAGAAAAACAGAACTTACTTGAATGATAGGCTTGTTAGCATATAGGACTTCGGAAAACATTGGCTTACTTGGAGGCAAATGCATGTCCCTCTTTTCTGTTTCAGGTACAGTAACAGAACTAGAATTTGTTCTCCCTGTATTAAAAGGAAAATACAATTAGTTGCTCTTAGTCTCTTACTCATTCAAACAAACAAACAAAAAAGAGAATGAATCTCAAGTTAAAATAGTTTTTATTTTCTAATTATTCAGGAGTCATGCTTTAATTAACATATACAAATCGGATCCGTCACCTCTAAAATGAGTAATTCACTTTAGAAGATATAGTAAATAAATTCAATTGTTGATGAAAAAGTCAACTATTAATATTACCTGAACATACATAACAAAACATGAATGTATTAGAATATCAATAGACAATGGTTAACTTTCTTACCCAATGAGTGAAATTGGTTACACGTTTGTTACCACAACAAAGGATATCACTGGATCCTCCTCCTATTAAATATTATCATTTGTTTTTTAAATATTGTGAAAGGCCAAGGCAAGCAATAAGTTTTTCTAAGATGGAGGCACATAAGATAATGGTTGAGATTACATGAAGGTTATTAAATGAGGAACAGGTTTCCATACCAGCAGGTTTAGAAGAAACCTTCCGTGAGGTTCTCCTTTCACTTTGTGGCTTTCTACAAGAGCTTTTCTTGTTGAGGGAAAATTCCAATTCAAAATGTTCAGGGTCAGCACTTAGAGCCTCAAAAATCCACTTAGCATACTTACTTATATCTTCAGCCTGAAACAAATTATGTTAAACAAAACTTATTCAAGATTTTACGGTGAACAAGTTTGAATAGCTTAATGCTTTCTATTTTACTTGGTCATACCACTTGGTGATATTTTGAGTTTTCTGGAGTAGCATTCATTGCATTGGAGCATATCAGAAAGACATCACGCTGTACATAATTGAAATAGAATCAAACATCAGTTTGGCATTAGGGAAAGTGTTTCATAACTTAACTAGTTGTAGACTTGTAGTCAATTCAAGTACAATGTGTAAGTGGTTAGACAGGGAGAAACAAAACCAAATAATACAAATGCTTCTCATCAAAATAATTAAAACTCATGTAAAAAACATTACTGCAAAACTGCAACAGAAATTACAAAATGATTAAAACTCATGTCAAAACATTACACACATTGTTGTTTTAGATAATATTCCTTTGTTTTAGATATTATACATTTTTATACTTTTCTAGGTATTAATTATTATTATTTTTATTATGACATTACATGTTGGATTGAGTGCTTATTATTAGACTAAAAATTATATCGAATAGTTATGGTATAATTTTTTTTACTTAATTTAAACATCTTGTAACCTGACTTATCAAAATTCTCGTTACAAGACAATTGATGTCGTTCAGCAAACACTATGCATATCAATTAAATCTCTCTTCATCAATGTGCAGATCTAATACAAAGTATATCTGAAAAATAATAAAGTATGATGATTTTCAAACCTTGAACAGTTCAATGTTTGTATACATGCCCTCAAAAATTTTGGCCCTCATGGTACCGAAATCCATTGGCTGCTTCACAATTTCATAGTAATGCTCCACCTTTAATTCATAGCAATTATTCAACATAACTAACAAAACTCAATGATCTAACGGACAAAAAGTAATTAATTAAATCTTCAAATTAAGGGTAAATAACTAACCACATCAGGATTAATTGGTTCAGCAAATAGTTCATCGGGGTCTTTCCTGGAAATTTAATTGACTTTATAATTAATTATATATGGACAGATTCGAGTGAATCTTTGTAATAGAACATTATATATTTCATCCATTTCTAGACACTTGAAAGTTGAAAGCAATCATAAGCTATGGTTTTCACCTTTGTAGAAAATCAATGATAATTTCAACGATGTTCTTTAATGGCATACCATTCAGAGATGAGACTGCAAGTGAAAAAGTACAAAAACAGTTATGATGATCACTACACTCAGGGAAAATCACATGTAATGGCTTATAAGCGTTCAAGAGTGAAATTGCATAATCTTCACGTGTTTGCTTGAGATGGTTATGAGCATACCATTTGTTCCTGAAGCACTTGCATTCCGAGATTGTCTTCCTAGTTCCTGTATTGACTTTGAAATGGCAGAAAAAAGTGAATAAGGAAAGGAAATACATAGTAACCATACAAGTGACAGACTCCAAACTGTTGAGATACAAACAAGTTCCACATCGATAAAATAAAATAACTAATAACAACTTATATAACAAAAACATACTTCATTAATAGAGGCCTTTGAGGTAATGACCGAAAGAAAAAACGTGAGGGTTAAGGCCCAAAAGAAAAAACGTGAGGGTTAAGGCCCAAAAAACCCTAAACCCTAAACCCTAAACATAAACATACTTCATTAATAGAGGCCTTTGAGGTAATGACCGAAAGAAAAAACGTGAGCGTTAAGGCCCAAAAGAAAAAACGTGAGGGTTAAGGCCCAAAAAACCCTAAACCCTAAACCCTAAACATAAACATACTTCATTAATAGAGGCCTTTGAGGTAATGACCGAAAGAAAAAACGTGAGGGTTAAGGCCCAAAAGAAAAAACGTGAGGGTTAAGGCCCAAAAAACCCTAAACCCTAAACCCTAAACCCAAACATACTTCATTAATAGAGGCCTTTGAGGTAATGACCGAAAGAAAAAACGTGAGGGTTAAGGCCCAAAAGAAAAAACGTGAGGGTTAAGGCCCAAAAAACCCTAAACCCTAAACCCTAAACCCTAAACCCTAAACCCTAAACCCTAAACCCTAAACCCTAAACCCTAAACCCTAAACCCTAAACCCTAAACCCTAAACCCTCAACCCTAAACCCTCAAAATAAGATAAAGATAAGATAAAGATATCTTATAGATTATGTATTTTTTTTGTCTTTATAGGAATGAATTACTTATCATAATATATCTTATAGGTTCTAAAAAAAAAGCTCAAAATAAGATAAAGATAACTAAAGTTTAAGTTTTAAGTTTTAAAAAAAAAGTATTTGTTATTAATTTTTAAAAATAAAAAGTCATATATATTGACAAAAAGATATTATATGTCGGTATAAAAAAGTTTGACATATACCTTTTTTATTTAAAGAAAAATTTATCTCAAAATTTGTTTTAAATTTCACTTATTATCTAATTGATTATATCAATAAATTTCATTAAAATAATTAATATATCGTCATCTTTCATAAAATGAAACATAATTTCACAAAGAGTCATCTACTTGTTTTTGTCTTTTTTTTAAGAAGAATTATATCTTGAATTTGCAAATTCTTTCACATACATACATACATACATATATATATATATATATATATATAT